ATTCTGTGTTCTGTTAATTAATTCACTAATTAAGATAAGTTTCAGGAGGCCAGGTGTGGCACCATAAGATTTACACTGGACCACAAGGTCAGGTTGCTTTGAACCACAAGGTTGGCAGTTCAGATTTGCCAGCTGTTCCTTGGGAAACCTTATGCAGCATTACTATGAGTCAGAACTAACTTGATGGCACTCAACAACCACAACAATATAAGTTGCTAGAATTGCCAAACATAAATGCCCTACTTCGGTAAAAGTTGACTTGTACAGACAATAAGGAAGTTACTAATAGCTCACTAAAAGAGAAGTTGTAGCTTCAGGAAATATGAAATGAATGAGTTTTTAATTAAACGAGGTATTCATCTTTAAATGGAATTAATAGTTTGTTAATCAACCCTATTCCTCTTCCCCAACTTTCATCGTACCATACCTTTCACTACCCCTTCTCCTTGTGATCACTGTCACTCTAGGCCCTAAAGAGAATGAAAGGTACTTGCTAAGAGGTAGGTTTATCATAAAGCTGATGAAGGTATAAATTTTAAGATCACTTACTTGCCTGAGTCCTTTCCATGATCCTATACCTAGTTATGTTTTTGCAATTTTTTAAAGAACTCTTCCAACATTAATGTATAAGCTTCAGGCCCACATTTGGACATGCCTTTAAGATACATTTTTTTTTTTTTTTTCTTTTTCTCTGAAAGCATGTCTTGATCATGGTTGCACTGCTGGAAAGCCAGACTGGAATCTGTTGTTCAGTAGTTATGCAAAACTGGCTCTCTTCTGTGCAGGGGCTGTGATCTTGGATGCCTAGCTACCATAGTTTTCTGCAGAGTTCCAGAACAGCATGAGCCAGAGGTGTTTCTAGTCAGTACCAGTATACTCTTGACTTTTCCACTAGGCTTTCTGAACACAAAGCATTGACTTTTGGTATGCTTAGACCTAGACAATTAGAGAAACACATAAGACAAATCTTGAAAGATTGGCTCCTGGTTGCTCATACAAAGTGTTCATGTCCTTTTGTACTCTGCAAGAGCCTTAGACAAAATTTTGTATTTACACAGTGGAAACGAAGAGTACAATGACCAAACTTGATGCCTAATATTTGAAAAACTTTGTGAGACAATTTCATAAATGTTAAAGTACTTTTTTTCAGATGTAAAAATGAGTGTCTGGCCCTTTGCCAAGTTGTATGCTTTAATCAAACAAAATGAATTTTTATAAAAATCAAGTCAATTTTAATATATTTTCTTCAGCATTAACAACCATGGAATTATTCATTTGTATAAACTTTTCCTTATGTTTTTATTCTGACTTTTTCTTCTGCTGTTATAATAATTCATAAAATGTATGTATTTTTCTATGAAGGGCATATCTAAAAAAATTAATCAGCAGAATCCCTTCTAAAGCCTTCATTCATCTAAAAAAAAACAAAAAAGTGCTTAAGTTGCCCTTGCCTCTGGTCTTTCCTCATCTATTTCTTTTTCACTTTCTTCATCATTTCTTTCACATGTCTTCTTTTTGTGATTAAATCCTAAAGCTGTTACTTGATACCTAATAAAGTCTGTGTGCACAGGCTGGGGGTCATGCATGAGTTGTAAGAACCTCCATCATTATGAAGAGGACATTCAAGAATGGTGGGGTGCATGCAGCACAGCATGCGGTATGCAATTCTGAGTAGGTTGACCAGGGCATCCTTGTAGGGGAGGAGATGACAACAATGAAAAATTTACATACAGGGGAGCTGGTCAAACATATTAAGAGTAAGAAGAAAATGATTGTTCACTAACAGAGAGGGAGTCATAAATATGGAAAGGGAGAAAATTAGTTAATCCTGTGGGATTGGATGGGAATTGGAACTACTAGTAGGAAATAACAAATTTCATTTGCTGTTGTTGTTTAGTGCTGTCAAGCCAGTTCTGACTCATTGTGACCTTGTATAGGTTTCTGTGATAAATATAGAAATGTAGTTGTGTATGTGTACATGTGTGCATATATTCTCAAATTTTGTCTAAAGGAATGTCTGGGAGAAGCAGCACTTCAGTAGCGATGAGTACACCCACTTGACCAAGAAGTTCTTGGTTTCTAAATAACATTTGCCCTTGAAAGTAACCAGGACCAGTGAAGGGAAAATACAAGATAAACTTCAAATATATTGTTGAGGCAAAAAACAATGAAATATACACAGAATGATGGAATAACAGACACAGAAACCACCTTGAAGAGATTCCCACTAACTAAACCAAGAGCCATTTAGACATCAAAACAAATGATGACAATAATGTGTAACAACCTATTAAACAAAATAGAAATTCATGAGTTCATATTATTAAATGAATAAATAAAATAACCAGTAAAGAAAAGGGTATTACAATAGTTTCAAAGTAATGTCACATAAAATACTTAACAATTACAAAGAGAAAAAAGCTAATTTTACAGAGGAAAATCCCAACAGTCATTGCCTTAATCTAGTGACCAAAACACACTCTAGTAATGGGACAAATTGAAATCTATGCCATTCAATAGAATGCAATGAGAACAACATAGACTTTATTCTTTGATACTTCTGCCAAGGTTTATAATCTAAATTTCATCATGAAGGAACATTAGAAAAACTCAAGTATCATTATACTTCACAAGAGGACTGACTAGTAATCTTTCAAAGTGGCAGGGTCATGAAAGGCAAGGGCACACACAGGAACCATCTTGGATTAATAGAGACAACAGAAATGAATCTGCTATGCAAAGAGCGGTTCTAAACTGGATCATAATGATACTAAGGAAACTATAGAAATAACTGACAAATATTGAATGGAATCTGTGGATCATACTAATGTTGTGCTTTTAATTTTCTAGTTTGATAGTTATATTGTGCTTATATGGGAGAAAGTCTTATAAGAAATACATATGAAGTATTCAAAGATGATAGGGGATCAGATGGGCAATATTCAACTGTTACTGTTTAGGATTAGGAAAAAAAAAATTTATGTTTTACCATACTTAAAACTTTTCTATAAATTTGTTTCAAGTAAAATAAACTTTATGACTTGCTAATGTTTCATTTAGCTATTCAGATCTCCCGTGCATGTGAATTTTAGGTGCTAATTGATGATGGTAGGTAAATCTGGACTTTGAGATCTGTTATGAGAGTTGTCAGTGATATGATCTTTTAACAGTTTCTAGATGAGCTTCATTTTTGACTGCTAAGATCTGATTCATTTCTAAATATCATATGACTCTTCACTTTAAATATTAAAATACCCTCTGTCAGGTTACTATTTTATGGCCCAAATATGAAAGAAAATTCCGGAGGAAAAAAAAAATGGAAAGAATAATGAAATCTTTTGCCTTGAAAAAATATTTTCTGAAAACTATTGAAACAAATTGCATGAGAAAAATGATGGGTGAAAAAAAAGCTTACTGTTGATAGGAATGTTGTTGCTGTTGTTACGAAGTGCCGTCGAGTCAGTTCTGACCCATAGCGACCCTGTATAGGGTTTCCAAGGAGCAACTGGTGAGCTTGAACTGCTGACCATGCAGTTCCAACAGCTTTGCAGTTTGGCGCATTGACCCACAGCGCCACACCAGGACTCAGTTGATAGGAATCCATCAGTCAATTCATGACAAAAACTTTCTGTATGATTGAAAAACATAGATTCATCTCTTTTTTTCTGCCAGAGAAGCTACCAATTCTTGTAGCTAAGTTTAAGCGCAGAGATGAAATGACTGTAGATAGGAATACATCAGTCATTTCATCTCTGCTTTTTAACTTAGCTACAAGAATTGGCAGCTTCTGTGGCAGAAAAAAGAGATGAATCTATGTTTTTCAATCATACAGAAAGTTTTTGTCATGAATTCCTAGAACTATTGCTGATCATCATTAAACCTTAAACCAAAAACTTCCCCTAATGTCTTCTTTAAACCAACCAATTGTTTAGCTTAATTAATAAAGAACGTCTGCCTTGAGTATTGGGCTCTTTTAAAGAACCATCTTTGTGGGATGAAATTGGCAACAGCAATTCAAAGGTTAGATACAAAGCTTAGAGGGCAGTGAGCTTATGTTAATAAGCGTGGTTGTTGTTAAGTACCGTGGAGTCTGCTCCAACTCATAGTGACCCTGCACAGGGTTTCCGAGGCTGTAACTCTTTACGGGAGCAGAATGCCTATCTTTATCCCGCGGAACCGCTTGTAGTTTCAAACTGTTGACCTTGAGGTTGGCAGCCCGACTCGTAACCACTACACTACCAGAGCTCCTAAATAAGTGTGGAGAAAGTCCTAAAAAGAAAGTGACATGGTGGCATAATTTGAAGAATACAATCAATGTCACTGAATTGTGCATGTAGAAATTGTTGATGTGTTCTGCTGTGTTTGTTTTCAACAAGAACAACAACAAACTAAAATAAATTTTAAAATAAGAAAATATGTGGTAGCTGTGAATCCTGGTGTTGTGCCATGAGGTCAGTTTGAACTGTAAGGTTGGTGGTTCAAACTTGCTAGCTACTCCTTGGAAACCCTATACAGGGTTGCTGTTAGTCAAAACCGACTCCGTGGCACTTAACAACAACAACAACAATGTATTAATATCAGGAGCACCTTTCTGCCTACAATTTTTTGGTGGAACTCTAGTAAGGAGATTTTCACATTCAGTCAGTCTTCCACTGGGATTGATACATTATTTCATCTCCATAGTTGTTGTGACATTTCCTAAACATTCCAGTAGGTGGTAGTCTAGGAGAAGAACAGCTTTCCTTCCCCACTCCCAACCCCCCTTGCCAACCTGCAAACTCATTTGCAAAAGAGAAAGGAAGTAGAATCAGCAATGTTGCTTTCTTTTTTCTGGCACAAGAATGGGATTTCCAAGCTTGTTCTTTTAGAATGAGTATCTAAACTTAATGAGTGTCCAAAAAAGAAGCAAAAAAAAAAAAAAAAAATTGTGTGTGTGTATATGTGTGTGTGACTATGCAGTGTTCTGAAACCCAAAATTATTTTTCTTTTATGATTTCTAGAAATTCCACTGGTTTTATGTCTCTTCGCCCTGATTTCCATGACATGGCTTTGGGGAGGACTCCATGTGGCTTACAGACACTTCTGGATGTTGGCCCTATTTGTCATTTTCAACAGTCTGCAGGTAAGGCTTCCTTCAGTTATGAATGATACACATTCATCCTAATGAACACAATGTAGATTTTTTATTCTAAACAGTAAAGTGCACACAGTGATATTGCAGAGAGCTATAAAATGATTATGGGGCTAAACACAGAATTTTGGACTACATTGACAATTCCAACCCAGAGTGAACAATTAGAGTAGAACTTCCCCATAGAATTCCTGATGCTTTAAATCTTTACAGAAGCAGACTGCTATAGTTTTCTCCTGTTCAGTGACTAGAGGGTTTGAACCAACAACCTTTAGGATAGCAAGCCAATGTTTAACCCACTGTGCTACCAGGGATCCTTTTTAAGCAATAGGAATCCATCAAAGTTGGATTTTTTAATTAAATGTTGTTAGTGTGGGAGTGACATGTTTATATCAACTAAGTCTTCAGAAAGATACTTGGAACCCAATAGGAAAGTATATAGAAAAGAATAGTAGTTCTATGCAGGAAGAGCAGCTAGTTGTCTGTTATCATTGTAATTGTGTTGTGAAGTGCCATTGAATTGGTTCCAACTTGTAGAGACACTGTATAGAGTTTCCAAGAGAAAGCTGGTGGATTTGAACCGCCAACCTTATAGTTCACAGTCTATTGTCATAGTACAGATTATAAATGGTCAAACATTGTACCTGGGAATACAAAGTAGGTAAAAGGCTTATAAGATATTGTAGAGATAAACTAATGAAACTTTTTATATCCCCAGTTACAATCAAGTTGATTCCTTTATGTCAACTTTGTGTGTATCAGAATAGAACTATGCTCCATAGGGTTTTCAAAGGCAATTTTTTCTGAGGCACCAGGCTCTTCTTCCAAGATGCCTGCTGGTGAATCCAAACCTCCATCCTTTTGGTTAGCAACTAAACATGTTTGTACCATCAAGGATTACAAACGAATCTTAGATAGTCAGTTATGTCTATTTTGAGAGAACAAAGTCACTTACCAGTGTCTAGCTTGGGTGAATGGCAGGGCACTGGCACCTCTAGTCAAAATGGAGAATATTGAAGGAAGAGATTTCAGGGAATATTTAGTGCAGGTTAGTGAGTTGGATTATGCCATTGGAAATGCAGATCCAGAATGTAAAAGAGAGGTCAGAGTTTCAAACTCACCAGCCACTCCTTACAAACCCTATAAAGGGTCTCTATGAGTTGGAAACAACGCTATGGCACTTAACAACAGCAACAGAGATACAAATGTTTTAACAACTAGGTTTAGGGACGGTTAGAGAAAGAAATTGTGAATAAGTGATCAGAGAGTTTAGGAAAAACAAGGATAGGGCCATTTGAAACTGTGAGAAAGGAAAGCTTCAAAAATACTTTACAGGAGCAGATGTGGTCTGGTGTTTCCTCCAAACTGTGACCTGCATCAGAACCGTGATGAGGACTTGTTACAACACAGATCCTTGGGCTTCACCCCCAGCATTTGTGATATAGTTGGTCTGGGTGGAGTTTGAGAATTTGCATTTCTACAAGTACCTGGGTGTTGCCAGACTGGAAGCTAGAGAGAGAGAACTACTGGTCTAGTGGGAGGTGATCTTAAATCTGCTAATCTCTACTGGAATCTTGGCTAATTACTGAATTTTATTTCCTTCAGCTGTGAAATGGAGATAAATACTGTTTAGGGTTACAGTTTGATTTAATTAAATGACATAATGCATATAAAGCAAGTGTACAGGACATGTCCACAAAGAGTTGTTAGTCATTTTATTTAAGAAATTTAACAAAGAATGCACGGACAGAAAGTTGTAGCTTAGGAAGAGAGGTTGTTTAGTTCGAGAGAAGTGGGTTTTTTTTTCATTGTTTTTTAACTTGTTTTGAAAAGTACCAATAAAGAAAGTGAAGAACAGCAAGTAGAGAGAAGACTTGTCAGGAGAAGATACTGGAGGAGACAAGGAAAACAAAGAAGTGGTGGAGAATGTTTGAGAGAGGCATAAAGATATTTTGTTTTGTTTTCTCAGAGGCTGAAGGAAAAAAGGAAGGAATGGTGAACATGAAAACTACTCAGGACTTGAAAGAATGGGAAATTGGTGGCATTTACATCTAATGCCCTTTCTTTTTATTGAAAGGCAGGAAGCAAGGTCATTTGCTATGAGACAATGGCTTGAAAGCTTGAGGTTAAAATAGTACAAGGTATGGAGTAGCTCTAGGTAGTAAGTCAATAAAATATGGTGAGTTAGAAGATGGGCAAGAAACAAAGTGCTTAGAGAGAAATCATTGGCGTTCAACAGAAGTTGGAAACCTTAAATCTGTTATTGAACCAGTCTTCAGAAATTAAATAAGTTAAACCTTAAAAATACTTGGATAATGGTTGTCAATGTAACCTATAAAACCACACATACTTGAAGAAAGTTGTTGAGCTTTCACGGTGCTCCATTTTTATTTTTTTATTTTTTTTTCTGTAAAGAAATAAGATTGCTGAGCATTGTATAATTCCATAAAGGATCAACATTTTCAACCCAATTGACCTTTTATTAGGTCACCATGGGTTAGAATCTACTCCATGGCAAATGTTATTTTGTTTGTTTGTTTAATGTATAATTCCAATGGCTTTGGAGTGCTTCCTTTTTTGCTCAATAGGTTTTCTTTCTTCACTGAGCCTCTTGGCCACTACTAATGCAAGACTCGCCTTCTAATAGTTTACCAGCCCCAGCAGACAAATTCTATGAAGAAATTGAATTGCCTCCAGCTTGGGTCTTATCCTGTCCAAGAACCGAACTAGTGATGACAAATACTCTGGTCAGGCCTGGGGCCTGAACAAAAGAATTGTGGAAAGAATGGAGCTGATTTCACAAAAACTACATGGAATAGAATTCTCACCAGTAGAAATGATTGTTGCATCAGTAGAAGAGAACACAGTACTGGGCAGGCAAAAGCAATAGATGTCGACCAAACAGTTTTTTGTTCATGGATATGTTTAGACAAGACCAAGGATAGTTATTGGTAAACTATTAAACTATTATGTTGTTAGTGCCGTTGAGTCAGTTCCATCCCATAGCGACCCTGTATAGGATTTCTGAGGAGTGCATGGTGAGCCTGAACTGTCGACCTTGTGGTTCAAACCAACCTTGTAGTCCAGCGCATTAATCCACAGCACCACACCAGAAATTTTATATGGTATTAGTTTTTATTATGAATATATTTGGAATCCATTTTTAAATCAAACATCTCTGTATTATCCACAAGAATTTTATAAGGGTCTGTAATTTTTTTTTTTTTTTAATTCCTGATCTGTTAATCCAATATTGGATTTTCTTAGCCTCTGTCAAAAAATAACAAAAATAATCAGTTAATTGAGTTTGGCATTACTTAGTGAATTCATGCTAATATTTATAGATCTCAGCTTTCTTTTTAAAACAACTTTTACTTGTGAATTTAGTGAAGGTTTATAGAGCAGATCATCATTTTTACATTAAAAAAAATCATATATGTTGCTTCATTACAATGGTTGTAATCCCCTTCATGTACCAACAATTAACGGTATTTACCGCTCTTCTAGCGGAGGAAAAGTGAAGAGAGCGGGAGATAGGGAGGAATGTTATTGCTATTACAATCCTCCCTGTTTCTCGCTATCTTCTCTTTTCTTTTGCTAACGTCCCACTTGTATATTGTCTAACCTGACACCCATGTTAACATGTATATACCCTCTAGTCCACTGTAACCATCATAGATTGCTTCTTTTATCAAGAAAACCTTTTTTTAACATTTCTCATCATTGGTCTCATACAATTTTTGTCCTTTTGTGATTGACTAATTTCACTCACTCAGCATAATATCCTCCAGGTTCATCCATGTTGTGAGGTGCTTCACAGATTCAGTTATTTTTTTCAATGTTGCGTAGTACTCCGTTGTGTGTATTTGTGCAAAAATGTGTTTAACCATTCTTCTGTTGATGGGCATTTAGGTTGTCTCCATCGTTTTGTTGTGTCTTTTGTAGACAGCATATTGAAGGATCCTGTTTTCTTATCCAGTCTGCTTTCTATGCCTCTTGACTGGTTCATTTAATCCATTTACATTCAGTGTAATTATCAATAAGTAGGAATTGATTGCTGTCATTATTCTGTGTTCTTTTTTTGTGGTGCTGCTGTTTTGTTTCACACAATTTTCTATGTGCAATTCATTCTGTTTGTGGGTTTTCTTTTAATTTCTCGTTTGTTAATGCTTACTAAATCTTTCTGATTTTCCTCTTTTTTACATTTTGATATTCAGGTGTATTTTCTTTGAGGTTACCCTGTAATTTATTATTTTTTCCCCTTCTTAAAACAGTCTGTTTTTCCTTGAAATCTATTTGACTTCTTTACCATTTGGAATTTCTGTATCTACACTATTCTTTCTTTTTGCTTTGTAGTTGACTTTATTATAAATTGGTATCTCTGATTCCTTATTTTCATTCTTGTAGGATTGTTTTAATTTAAATACTTCTATATCTGGATTGAATTTGTGGTATGGTGCTGTGGGTTAATGTGTCAGACTGCAAAGTTGTTTGAACTGCAAGGTTGGTAGTTCAAGCTCACCAGCTGCTTCTTGGAAACCCTATACAGGGTCGCTATGGGTCAAAATCAACTAGATGGCACTTAACAACAACAATATCTGGATTGAGTTCTGGGTGGTGTTGTCATGTATGATGATCTCATGTTTTTGTCTGCTTCTGTGGGTTCTCAGTCCAAAGAACACCATTTAGCATTTTTTTGGAATGTTAGTCTGGTCATTACAAATTCCTTTAATTTCTGATTATCAGGAAACATCCTAACATTGCTGTTGCATTTGAGGATCAGCTTTGTGGGGTGTATGATTCTTTATTGGCAATTTTTTTTCTTTCAAAGTTTTGCATATGTCATCCCATTGTCTTCTTGCCTACATGGTTTCTTCTGAAAAAAAAAAAAAAATCAGAGCTTAATCTTACTGGTTCTCCTTTGCAGATAACTTTTAATTTTTCCTGAATGCTCTCAGGATTCTTCCTTGTTTTTGTTTTAGGAAAGCTTA